TCACCATATATGACAGTCACGGGGGGCTGAACCCGGTGCCGGGTCTGTCACACTCACAGATGCCACTCTCAGTGAAAGTGAAATGGTCAGGTCCCTGCTGCCACCAGTGCTGCCCATCCTTGTACCAGGTGGTGGCATTGGTGGTCCCCGAGCCCTGGCAGGTCAGTGTCACCCGGTCCCACAGCATCACAGGTCTCCAAGGGGGCTCCACCAGGAGCTGGGTGGTCTGGGCACCTGTGGGTGACAGGGGACACCAGCCTGCCAGGGCCAGTGTGGGGCTGGGCACAGCGGGGTTAGGCCATGGCATCCCCCGAGGACTCACCAGCGAGGCCGAGGGTCTGGGCGGGAAGGGAGAAGGGACAGGGCTGGGTGGGGGTGGCACTGTAGGGAGAGAGGCACATGGGGCACAATGTGTGGGGGCTGTCCCCAAAGTGTCCCCATGTGGACAGCCGTTCTTGTGAGAAAGTGCGTGGGGGTGGCCCCCAAAAGATTTGGCAAAGCAGGGGGAGATTTCTGTGTCACAGCCACCTGTGCACCACATCTGTGTGGCACAGATACCTTGGGAGCAGGAACGTGTCCCCTTCTGTCCCTGCATCCCAGTTCCCTTGTCCCCCACCCTATCCCCACAGCTACCGGAGCCCAAAGGTGCCAGTCCCCACATTCCTGTCCCCACATCCCCATCCCCAAATTCCTGCCCCTGTTCCTGTCCCCAAAGTCACCCTACATCCCCAGTCCAACCAATGTCCACTGTGGCTAACACGGACTGGCACTGCTGGCACTTGGGACCTCAGGGGACTCTGCAGCCCCCCTGTGCCCCCTCCCCTCCCCATCCCCAGGCTTTCAGGCCCATGCCCAGGGCACTCATCCCACAGGAGCAGCATCACCATCCCAGCCATCCCAGTGTTGCCAGCCATGTGGACTGGTGTGCGAGTCTGTCCAAAATATCCCTGATCTGCCTCACGATCATCATTGGGGGACCAGTGAAGAAAAGACCCCCCTGTCTAGCCCTGTAGGAGAAAGTCATATGCCAGCCAGGCTCCGAGACCTGAGAGCATTGCTAAAGTTTTGTTTTCACGGGTGTATTTACTATATGCTACACTGAGCTCAACAAGAAGAAAGAAGGACATTCTGACCTTTTGCAACAATAGCTGTGGGATTTTTCTCTTGGCCTGGCTGAACTTCTCCTGAGTTCTGGCTGGTCCTCCTAAGAAGACCCCTCTGGCTTGTTTGCAATCACCGTGACAGACAAACTGAGATGTAAGAAGCCTCTTCACCAGAGAAAAACCCAGACATGAAACCCCTATGTGAGAAGGCCCCCTCTCATACTTTCCAAGGCCTGGGACTGAAACCCCCAACCCCAGGGAGGTGTGCGGGGGGAGGCAAGCTGACCAAAGCAGGATGGATGTTGCAGGTGTGAGCATTGGACCACAAAGACAATGGCTCTCACCCACTGCAGAGAGTATGGACCGTGTGTACCCTTTCCAAATACCATTCTTTTCCCCGAGGATACAAAAGACTACCTTTGATTCGGTTACAAGATCTATTCCCCTCTCCCCATCAAAAAAGGGTATTATTAGAGTGCAGATGGACTGCACCCCTGAGATCTCCCTGGACGTGACCTGGTGAACTCCATCGGCTGGACACCGAAGGACTCCGCATTACTACATTTGGTAGCTACATACCTTTTTCTTTTTCCTCCCTCTTTTCCCTTTTATTTTTCCCTTTCCCCCAATTCCTCCCCAAGGCATTTTCACTGTGGTTATTTCAATAAAGGTGCATTTGTTTTGATTATCACTGCAAACCCCCTTCGACCGTGTTGGTTCTTCTTGCACTCTGAGATCACGAACCATCACGAAACCCATCCGTGAGGACGGCTTGTGACAACTGGCTGTCACTCGCTGCTGTGGCCACCGCTCCCCTGGCTGGCAGCTCTTCGGATGAAGGGCAAGGAAGCGAGGTCACATCTTGTCCCAACATGGAGGTGGCCCTTGGTGGGGGCAGGGTGGCCACAAGCTGGGGACGGGCTGTGGGCAGGGTGGGGACAGCCTGGGGACATGGTGGGGGATGCTGTTGCCAGGACTGGGGGGGCTCAGGGGATGTGGGGAACCAAGGATGGGTGTCCAGCAGAATGGGGGTCCAGGGGAATTGGGGTTTCCATGCCTGGGGGGATTCAGGGATGGGGGTGCTGTGGGAACATGGTCCCCAGGGATTTGGGGTCATGGTGTGTGGGTGCCAGGGTTGGGGGTGCAGGGGGAAAAAGGGGACCCTCGGGAATAAGGGTTCCGGGGAAGAAGCAGCCCATGAGATGCGATCAAGGCAATGGTGGTGCTGGGCAATGTCAGTCCTGGGATGGGGTCCCCAGATAGGAGAGACCAAGGCAATGGGGGTCCCATGGTTGGGTTCCCAGGGGAATGGAGGTGCCAGGGATGGGCAGTGGCTGGGTGGGCACGGGGGTCACAGCTCCTTCATGGGGTGCCTCAGATTTTGGGGTGACTCAGAACCCAAAACAGTCCCCACCCTGGGGCACCCCATGGCTCTCCTGGGAGTCTCTGTGTCCCTTCCCCACTCACCCCTAGGTCAGGTCCCCCCATTTCCTGGCTCAGCCATCCCAGGCAACACTTGATGCCCAATTGGTTCAGACAAAATTACACACCCATAGAATAAAAGCAAAAATCTTTCCCACACCATTGTTTTCCCAATAAAGAACAAACTCAGCAAAAATCAATCTGGCAAGGTATAAAATTCTCTGGTTTATAGAATCCTTATAACGCTTTCTGTCCCAACAAGTCCCTCACAATAAAAACACAAACAAATCACAAAGAAATGAGACTTTTTGGGTCCCTTAAGAAGCCCCTTGGTGCATCCCACAGTAGCATTTTCTTGTGGATAACACAGAGGGTGGAATCTCCCTGAGTGTCCAACAGCTCCATGGGATTGTTCCCTGCCTGCTGGGCAGCAACCCAGCCCCTGAGGAAGGCCTTTCTTGGACCATATTAAGGAACTCTCCCCATGTTTCTCATTCCCACCCTGAAAATTGATTGACTTCCCATGGAGGAAGGGGAGAAGCTCTGTCCAGGCTTGGGACAGTGCACAGGAATCTGTGGAAATGCCCCTGTGTGCCTCAGGGTCTGATTCCCTGGTAAATCCACTCCAGCCTGCCCTGAATTTCCCTGCCTGGGCACTCCCTGCTCCTGCTGTGACACCCCTGTTCCCCAGCCCTTCGTGTGCAGCCCCTCCTCAATATTTCCACACTTTTCCCTCTTATTGGTGGCCAGAACCCAAACCCAAATATTCATTCCATGATGTTCCAGAAGTCTGCAGGTTTTCTTCAAGAAGGAGCGTTCCAGTCAGGTTGTTGAGCAGATTGTTATTGTCTTTACAATAGTTTTGTGGTTTTCTCAGTCCCTTGTGGCAAGGGAAAAAATGAACAATTGGTGCATTTCCGGACTGGTTCCCTCACAGCTGCCCCTGCAGGGGCAGTTTCCAGCCAGCCCTGCTCTGAAAACCATCAAAGGCCCTCCCAGAGCCACTGCTTCAGCTCCCATTGGGGTTTGTGCTTCTTGCAGGGCTGAGCAAACCACAGGTAGGGCCTTTTTCCACGCACAGAATTCTCCCCTCTGCAGCAGCTCTAAAGCTGCCAGAATCAAATCCAAGGGGGCAGGGGGGACCCTCAGGTGCTGGCTGCCACCTGGGGCTGGGCAGAGCAGGGCTGGGCAATGGCCATCCCTGTGCAGTGGGGCTGGGCCATGGCTGGGCCCCACCATTGCATTGACAGGGGTCCCCAGGATGTGCCACCCCTGGGACAGGCACCCGGCCAGGAATGTGCAGGGACATTTCCGGAACTGCCACACCCGGGACAGGAGCCCCCATGCCAGGATGTGTCACCCCTGGGACAGGATCCCCCCAGGACAGGAGCCTCTGGATGTGCCCCCCCAGGACAGAACCCCCCCTTTCCCATCTGACTCTCAGCACAAACAGCCTCTTCCTTCTTGTCCAGGAAAAGGAAAGTGAAAGTGTTGAGGGGGCACAGCCGAACACCTCCATCCCCCACAGCCTCCCCACCCTTCCCTGCATCTCCTGCTCCCCATTTTCCCCCTTCCCTGGCTCCCCCCAACCCATTCCCTGCTCAGGTGCCCCCTGGGATTGCTGAGCCAGGAATGGGGGCAGAGGGCACCTGGCACAAAAGTGATGAAAATAAGGAAAGAAAAGCAATAAAAACACAAAAAAGTCAAGGACAGTGGAGGGCACAGAGGCCGAGCTACCCAGGACCCCCATGTGATGCCGGCACAGGAAACAAGCATCCCAGTGGGGCTTTGCTTGCTCTGGGTCACCCCAAAATCTGAGGCACCCAGGGAAGGAGCTGAGACTCCTGAGCCCATCCAGCAACTCCTCATCCCTGGCACCCCCATTCCTCCTGGAATCTAAACATGGGATCCCCATTCCTTATGGCCCCTCATCCCTGGGACACCCATCCCAGTACTGACATTCCCCAGGATCTCCATGGCCCAGCACCCCTTTCCCAAGGAACCCTCTCCTGCTCATTCAGTCCTCTGAAATCCCCCTACCTCCATGACCTTGATTCTCTCAGGAACGCCATTCCCATGGACAACCCCCATTCCCCCAGCATCCCCATCTCATGACCCCAAATCCTGGAGCCCACGCTCACCTGGGACTCCCATCCCTGAGTCCCCTCAGCCCTGGACACCCCCAGACCCATGACTCCCCCTCCTCAGGAACCACACTCCCCTGGACATCCATCCCTGGCTCCCCAAACCCACCGAGCCCCCCACTCCTGCAAACCACATCTCCCACCTTGTCCCACCCACCCTCATCCCCATCCTGTCCCCTGCTTGTGGCCACCCTGCCCCCACCAAGGGCCACCTATGCATGGGGACAGACGTGACCTCGCTTCCTTCCCCTTCATCCAAAGAGCCGCCAGGCAGGGGAGCGGTGGCCACAGCAGCCAGTGACAGCCAGTGCACATGGCTGGGGACACCGGGATGGCCGGGAAGGTGGCGCTGCTCCTGTGGGGTGAGTGCCCCGGGCATGGGCCTGACACCCTGGGAATGGGGAGGGGAGGGGGCACAGGGGGGCTGTGGGGTCCCCTGGGGTGCTCAAGGCCAGCAGTGCCAGTCCATGTTACCCACAGTGAACCTTGGTGGCACTGGGGATGTAGGGTGGCTTTGGGGACAGGATAGGGGGGCAGGAATTTGGGGATGGGGATGTGGGCACAGGAATGTGGGGACTGGCACCTTGGGCTCATGTAACTCTGGGGATAAGGACAAGGGAACTGGGATGCAGGGACAGAAGGGGACAAGAACCATGAGGATGTGGCCATGGGGATGGGATCATGAGCTGGTGGGGATGACCTGTGCCAGCATGGGCTGTGTCCGTGGTGTCCTCGTGCCTGGGGTATCCAAAGTTTCCCCATGTTCTGCCTCAGCCCAGGGTGGCCTCGGTGTCCCTGTCCCAAGGTGCTTGTGTCACAGGGATGTGGTGCACGGGTGGCAGTGACACAGACATGTCCCCCTGCCTCTCCAAATCTTTTTGAGACCACACACACACACTTTCCCACAAGAAATGCTGTCCCCACAGGGACAGTTTATGGGGACAGCCACCACGCCCCGTACCCTGGTGCCTCCTTCCCTGCAGTGCCACCCCCACCCAGCCCTGTCCCTTCTCCCTTCCAGACCAGACCCTCGGCCTCGCTGGTGAGTCCTCGGGGGATGCCATGGCCCCACCCCACTGTCCCCAGCCCTGCACTGGCCCTGGCAGGCTGGTGTCCCCTGTCACCCACAGGTGCCCAGACCACCCAGCTCCTGGTGGAGCCCCCCTGGAAGCCGGCGGTGCTGTGGGACAGGGTGACCCTGACCTGCCAGGGCTCGGGGACCGCTGGTGCCACCACCTGGTACAAGGATGGGCAGCGCTGGGGGCAGGAGGGACCTGAACACCTCACTGTCACCGAGAGTGGCACCTACACGTGACAGACCTGGCACCAGGCGCAGCCCCCCGTGACAGTCTTAGATGGTGAGGGTGGATCTTTAATGATCAGGGTGGCCCCTGAGAGGTCAGGGTGGGCTCCACTCCATGGGTGGCCTCACACCCCTCATGTGGCGAGAGCCTGTGCCCTGCACACAGGGACATCCCAGTGCAGCCCAGTGCACTCCAGAGCACCCAGATGTCCCTGGTGCTATGGGCACCCACCTCAGAATGGCCTCATCAGTAAAATGTGACCTTCCTGTCCCACAGACCCACTGGTGCTGCAGGTGCCAGCGCGGGCACTGCTGGAGTGGGACACAGTGACACTGCGCTGCCGGGGCCGGCAGGAAAACCATCTCAGCAGGGTGCGATTTTACCGGGATGAGAAGGATCTCGGGGGGTCCCTCAGGGGAACCGAGCTGTCCCTTCCCCCCCTGCAGCTGCAGCACAGCGGCCGCTACCGATGTGAGGGCTTGGTGGGGTCCTGGCAGTCCCGGTCTGCAGCAGTGACAGTGACAGTGCACAGTGAGTACCCCCAGGGCTGGAACTCCAATATCTTGACAACCCCAAAGCCACTTCCCAGTGGATTCAGAGCCACAGTCCTCACCTCCCCTCTCCTTCCCAGAGCTCTTCTCGGTGCCGGTGCTGGAGGGTCCCCCCACACCCACCGAGGGGTCCCCTCTGACTCTCAGCTGCCTCAGCACCCCCAGCCCCCTGCAGGCCCGAGCCCCCCTCCTGCACGTGTTCTACCGGGACGGGCAGGTGGTGGGGGGCCCGCAGGCGCCCCCGCAGCTGCTGGTGCCCGCCGTGTGGGTCTCCCACTCAGGGAATTATGGCTGTGAGGTGCACTCCCAGGGTGGGGCATGTGGAAGAGCAGCGCCTGGCTCAGCGTCACGGTGCGCAGTGAGTGTGGGGATGGGCACGGGGAGCCCCCACAGCCTCCTTGGGTCCCCCATCACTGTCTGGCATCGCCCAGCCCTCCCTGATGCCTGCTCTGGGCTACCCAACCTTTCCCAGATCCCTCCCTGGCTCCCACCATCCTTTCTTGTGTCTCTCTCTCGGACCCCCAGCCACTACATGGGTACCCCTATCCTTCCCTGGCACTGTTTCTGTGTCCTGCCATTGCTGCCCCGGGTCCCTCCCCAGGTCCCCCCATTCCTGGCTCGTGTTTCCCTCCATCTCACACTGGGTCCCCTCACCCCTCCATGGGTCTCATCACCCCTCTCTGAGTTCTCCACACATTCCCCAGATCACACCCTCCCCTCCCAGGGTCCCCATACCTGCCCTGGTGTTGCCCACCTCCCTCTCCAGGTGTTCCCTCCCTGACTCCCCCAGCATTCCTCAGGGTTCCTTTCAAAGCACAGCCCCCCTCCTCCATCTCTGTGCCCGCTCTCCATCACTGGAGTTCCCCTGCCCCTCCATGATCCCCCTGGGTCCCTCACCGTCCCCTGGTGTCCCCCTCTCCTGCAGGGGTCCCGCCCTCGGGGGTGTCCCTGTCAGCACAGCCCCCGGGGGACAGGTGGCACTGGGGGACAGCCTGGTGCTGAACTGCTCAGTGACCATGGGAACAGGTCCTCTGTCCTTCTCCTGGCACCGGGAGAGCTCAGGGGCACTACTGGGCACCCGCCCCCGCCTGGAGCTGCGCCACATTGGGGACAATGACAGCGGCCAGTACCGGTGCCGGGTCAGCGACGGGGACAGCGTGGCTGAGAGTGACCCCATGAATGTCACCATCCTGTGTGAGCGGGACCCTCGGGTTGGGGGTGAGCCCACCCAGAGCACTCCCATCCCACCCTGCCATTTGTCAGCCCTGTCTGTGTCCCCACTATGCCCGTGGCCAATGCCACCATCACCCCTCGTCCCCTGTCACACCAGGTGCGCGCAGGTGACAACGTGACCCTGCACTGCTCTGTGCAGGTGGGCTCAGCCCCTGTCACCTTCACCTGGCTGTGTGATGGCCAGAAGGTGGCCCAGGGTCCCCTCCTGCAGCTCAATGATGTTGAAGTGGGACATTCAGGCACCTACCAGTGCGTAGCCACCAACCAGCTGGGACAGGACGGGCACCGCGTGTTCTGGGCACATAGCCCAGAGCTGGCCCTGGAGGTGACACCTGGCTCACCCTGGGTCACAGGTGGGGTCACACAGGTGGGGTCACCAGGGAGTACAGGACCCCTGGGGGATGGGTAACCCAGATGTGTCCCCCTCTGTTTCTTGCAGTGGCTGCAGGCTTTGGTGGGGCCCTTTCCTTCCTGGTCCTCCTCATGGCTGTCACTGTCACCTGGCACTGGTGGCATCGTGTGGGTGGGTGACAATGGGAGACGGGGGTCCCAGGGAGCTGTAGAGGCCCACAGAATTGGGGAACCATAGGTGACGACACACATACCCACAAGTGTGACTTTGCCTGAGGGTACTATAGGGTTTGGGGAGGTGCTGGAGGGTCCTGCAGGGATGCTGGGGGCTCTTTCAGGGGCCCTGGGGGTGTTCGGGGGTCTCTGTCCCTGCTGGGCTTTGGGTTCTTGAGGGAGATTTGTTTGGGGCCAGTGGGGAGGTTCATGAATTCTGGGGGGCTGCAGGGATTCTTGGGGGTCCTGAGGGGAATTGAGGGTCCCGTGGAGGTACAGGATTCCTAAGGGGTTTCAGGGCCCTGGGGACTCCTCAATCACCCCGTTCCTCTTTCGTCTGCAGCTGCCAGGAAGCACCAGGAAAGGTGAGTAGGGGGCTCAAACCACACTATCCCCTATTTACACCAACCCCCAAGACCTCCCATTCCCCTTCCCACATCCCCTTTATTCCCAAAGGGCCCCCCCGGATCCCCCGGCCCCCTCAGAGGAGGGAGAGGTGCTGTACACCCACGTCGTGGTCACCAAGAGGGCAGGGGGTGAGTATGGGGGGGACACACGCAGAGGGACACGTCACCCACCAGTGTCACCCCACCCAGATCCCACAGCCCGTGTCTCTCGCAGCGTCCCCCCGTGCCACCACCCTCCAGCATCCCCAGGTGACCTACGCGGAGCTGCCGGGACCCCAGGGGCGACCACGGGAACCCGGTGACATCTATGGGAATGTGCTGCGACACTGGGGGGAACTGGGGGCACTGGGGGTCCCCACCCATGGGCACCCACTCGTGTTTGTGCTGCCACTAAAAACTGTCCTAATCCCTCCCCGTGGGGGCACAAAGATCTCAAAGGTCTGAAAGAAGAACAATTTCCTGAAACAGCAATGAGAGAGAATTAAACCAACAGCAACAACATTCAGAGCCCAAATGGTCAAAAAATGAACAATTTCCTTGGAAAGCCACCAAAAAGGAAAAAACCCCAGATGATTGCCCCAGCACGTTTCCTCCACCAGAGGAACCTGGCAGGGCCTCGACCTTCCTTGCTCTGATGGCTACAGCGGCCTTCAGGAGGCTCTGGATTCTCTCCTCCCCTGACCCAAACCCCTCCTCTGCCCTTTTCCCAACACGAGGATTTCACAAAACCCATGGGGGGGTTCTGGAGCCTCCGCCTTTTCCAGGGCAGTAAGGATCAGGCCATGGCACAGGGCGGGGTGTCAGAGACAGGATAAGTTTAATGTCTGGAGACATTTTGGAACACCTGTGTGTAGCAGGGGTGGGTCAGGCCTTGCTTTTCGTGAGACAGGGCCCTGCCTGTCCATCAGTCTGTCAGCCACAGCACACTGGGGACAGTGGGATGCTCTGCCAAAGCCAGCTCCTGAGTGGCCGGGTGACCAGAAGTGCCAGCTGGGGAGAGGGCCCTTGGTGGCCCAACTGGCTTAAAGGGTAGAGCATAAGGTAGTCAAGTCCCTGACCGTGTCTCCTCTTGGGTTGTCTGTCCCATCCACGCTGGAACCCAATAGTTGGCAACTTATTTAAATGAGAAATACCTACCCAGGAAATTGGGAATGTTTCTGGAATGGAATGAAGACCCATCTCTAAAAGTTTTTTTAGTTTAAGAAATGATGAAGCTTCCAGGCAAAAGTGTAGGAAAAGGAGTAAGTCCTCTATACCGAGAAATTTATAAAGCAGAACAGAACAAACAACACAAACCCAGAACTTTCCCTCCTGCTCAGCGCTGTTGGGTTTTGTGGCAGTTATAACCGCGGCCAGCAGGGGGTGCTGCAGGGAGCACTCCCGGCCAGCAGGGGGCGCCCCGCTCCAGCTCCATCCCCTCAGGGGCCATGGCGGCCTCGGGCGGGAGGCAGGAGGGCAAATCGCTCCTTTTGCAAACTCACGGCCACCAATTGGTCCCGGCACCACCAACGGCAGCGGGCAGAAGCCGCCAAGGCAGCAGGTTGGATCCCAGTGCCCACTGGCAGCGTAGCAGTGTCCCGGGGCAGGCACACACCCTGCACAACACCCGCGACCGCTCTCCATGATCCGGAATGGAAGCAAGGCAGTGCCTGACCCCAGGCAGGTCTCGGGTCCACAGCAGCACCTCTGGTGGCTTTGTGGCACAATTCCTGCAAACCCTCAACTTTTTACTCAGGTGAGGAGGGCAGGAATGGAGCAGCTTTGTGGACACCTGGAATCCAGACAGGGTCACTCCCCACAGCCACACCATGGCTGCAGGGCCGCCCCCCTGCTCAATATTTCCACACATATACCACTTATCTGGCAGCCAAACCAGAACCCAGATATTTTTCCCGGGATGTTACAAAGGGCTGCAGTCTTGACACAGGTAGGAGGATGGACCCAGGCAGGTTGTTGAGCAGATTGGTGTGGGATTTGCAGAGTTTTTTGAGCTCTCTCAGAACCTTGCTGTAAGGGACAAAATGATCAATTGCTGCATTTCCGGACTCATTCCCTCGCAGCTTCCCCTGCAAGGGCAATTTCCAGCCAGCCCTGCTCTGAAAACCATCAAAGGCCCTCACAGAGCCACTGCTTGGGCTCCCTTTGGGGTTTGTGCTTCTTGCAGGCCTGAGCAAACCACAGGCAGGCCTTTTTCCACCCACAGAATTCTCACCTCTGCAGCAGCTCCAAAAACCCAGAGCCCCTTGGAATCTGTCCGTGGTGACACCCAGGCTGCTGGCACCTTGTTGGGGCTGTGTTAGGTCGCGGGCCACCCCAAAATGTGAGGCATCAAAAGAAGGAGCTGCGACCACGGGTCCATCCAGCCCCTGCCCTTCCCTGGCAATCTCATTTCCCTGGAAATAAAACCATGGGAGTCCCATTCTTTAGGTGCCACTGTACCTGGGACCCCTATCCCTGTACTGACATTCCCCAGGATCTCCATGGCCCAAGACCCCATTCCCAAGGAACCCTCTCCTGTTCATTCTATCCTCTGAAATCCTCCTTGCCCCATGACCTTGATTCTCCCAGGACCCCCATTCCCATGGGAGCCCCCATTCCCCCAGCATCCTCATCCCATGACCCTGGAGCCCACATTCCCCTGGGACTCCCATCCCTGAGTCCCCCAAGCCCTGGGCAATCCCATTCCCATGGCACCCCCATCCCTGGTGATTCCACCTCTGCAGCACCCTCATTCCCACAGACCCCATCCCTGGGACCTCCCATTCCCCTGGACACCCATCCCTGTCACCACAAACCCTCTGAGCCCCCCACTACTGGGAACCTCATATTGCATCTTGCCTCACCCAGTTTTGTCCCCATCCTGTCCCCACCCTGCCCACAGCCTGTCCCCTGCTTGTGGCCACCCTGCCCCCACCAAGGGCCACCTACACATGAGGGCGAGGCCTGACTTGGCTTCCTTCCCCTTGGGCCAAAGAGCCACCAGCCAGGGGACAGCCACCCCCGGCAGCGAGTGACAGCCAGTGCACATGGCTGGGGACACCGGGATGGCTGGGAAGGTGGCGCTGCTCTTGTGGGGTGAGTGCCCCGGGCACAGGCCTGACACCCCAGGGATGGGGAGGGGGAGGGGGCACAGGGGGGCTGTGGGGTCCCCTGGGGTGCTCAAGGCCAGCAGTGCAGGTCCATGTTAACCACAGTGGACCTTGGTGGGACTGGGGATGTAGGGTGGCTTTGGGGACAGGAATAGAGGGGCAGGAATTTGGGGATGGGGATGTGGGCACAGGAATGTGGGGACTGGCACCTTTGGGCTCAGGTAGCTCTGGGGATAAGGAAAAGGGACCTGGGATGCAGGGGCAGAAGGGAACAAGAACGGTGAGAATATGGCCATGGGGATGGGATCATGAGCTGGTGGGGGTGACCTGAGCCAGCATGGGCTGTGTCTGTGGTGTCCTTATGCCCGGAGAGTCCACAGTGTCCCCATGTTCTGCCTCAGCCCAGGGTGGCCTCAGTGTCCCTGTTCCCAAGGTGTCTGTTCCACAGGGATGTAGTGCACAGATGGCTGTGACACAGACATGTCCCCCTGCCTCTCCAAATCTTTTTGAGACCACCAACACACACTTTCCCACAAGAACTGCTGTCCCCATGAGGACAATTTGGGGACAGCCCTCATGCCCTGTACCTTGTGTGCCTCTGTCCCTGCAGTGCCACCCCCACCCAGCCCTGTCCCTTCTCCCTTCCAGTCCAGACCCCCGGCCTCACTGGTGAGTCCTCGGGGGATGCCATGGCCCCACCCCACTGTCCCCAGCCCCACACTGGCCCTGGCAGGCTGGTGTCCCCTTTCACCCACAGGTGCCCAGACCACCCAGCTCCTAATGGAGCCTCCCTGGAGACCGGGTGTGCTGTGGGACCGGGTGACACTGACCTGCCAGGGCTCGGGGACCACTGGTGCCACCACCTGGTACAAGGACAGTAAGCCCTGGGGGCAGAAGGGACCTGACCCCTTCACTGTCATCGTGAGTGGCACCAACATGTGTGACAGACCCGACACTGGGCTCAGCCCCCCCGTGAGAATCTCAGATGGTGAAGGGGGTTTGGCTGTCCCCAGGCTGGCACCCGTGGGGACCCCAAGGGCTCTGGGTGGGCTCTCCTCCATGGGTCACCTCCTGTGTGATCACAGCCTGTCCCCTGCTCTGGGGACATCCCAGAGCATCCTAGGCTGGGAGGATCCCCATGCTGGATATGGGGATCCCTGGTGCACTGGGTGTGACCCTACGGGGGGGGGTTCCGGTGCCATCAGGTGTGACAGGACTCCTCTGTCCCCCAGTGTGGCTGGTGCTGCAGGTGTCAGTACAGGCACTGCTGGAGGCGGACATGGTGACACTGCGCTGCCGGGGCTGGCGGAACCTCAATGTCAAATCCATGTCCTTCTACCACAAGGGGAAGAGACTGGAGGGGCTCCGCAATGGGACTGAGCTGTCCCTGTCTCCTCTGCAGCTGCACCACAGCGGCAACTACAGCTGCAGGGGCTGGGTGAGGTCCTGAGTGTTGGAGGAGTCAGCACCT